GAGAGAGAGAGAGAGAGAGAGAGAGAGAGAGAGAGAGAGAGAAACAGAGAGACAGAGACGTACACAGTGGTGTTGCGGCGATACGTATGTGGTTGTTTGTGTCGCCCCTCTGTGGGGAAGCATAGCGCTCAGGCCGAGAAATGCATTCGCAGTGGGCTAATTGCAAGCTTCGCTTTCGTTTCGCTATGTATTTGTGTTTTTCATCCTTTGGTGCGGAAAGATTCGTGAAGTGTTTGAGTCATTGCCGTTTTTCCACTTCTTAGTGGATTTGCCTTTGCCTGTCAATTGTGGTTTGGTATCGTGTTTGGGGTTTCCCCCCTCGTAGAGAAGGCTGGTTGCCATGGTAGCTGCGTGGATGCATGACAAATCGATGGACGATGGACACAATAGACGATAGGCTGCGTGATCATAATTTTAGTACGTATGTCCGTGTTGTATGTGGTCCGATCATGAAGTCATGTACCAGTGCAAACTAAAGGTTTCGTTGTTAAATAGGAGTTTCCAGAGGATGCCATCAGTGTCATTCGGGTTTTTGCACTTTGCGCTCTACAACTTCCACTCTCTCTTCGTCGTGATGTGATTCTTCGGCGACATCCTTTTGTGTCAATCATGTGTCAATAAATAATCATGTGTCAATCATGTGCACTTGTTTCCCTTTTTTACAATTTTTTTAATGTATTTATTTTTTTCCTTTTTTGTTTCTTTTATATGGTTGCAAACGAGGTTCGGATCACGTTTTCGCCATATGTGTGTATTCGAATGGCAATGGTTGTATGGTAATCCGGGGTAAAAAAAAAAAGGTTCACACGCTTGTATTGCAATCCGGGGTTAAAACCACGTTCCATGTGACGGTTGCGCACTGTTCTTGTCATGAACTTCGCACTTTCGTTGTTTTTTTACGTGATCCGGCACGGTTCTTCTGCTACGGGATCAAAGTTGACAATCAATTGAGCAAAGAAGTATATGACTGCTGCGATCACGACTTTTGTCTTTGTAAACAGTCTCAGTTATGGAAAACCGGGTGGGACACTGTATAACACACACACCCACACCCACACCCACACCCACATACCCACACCCACACCCACACCCACCCACCCACACACACACACACACACACGTGTGTGTGTGTGTGTATGTGTATGTGTGTGTGTGGGTGGATGGGTGTTGGTGTGTGGGTGTGGAATGATGTTTGAGGGTTGGGGTATTCAATTGCAAGAGCATGTGTACTCATTCATGAAAATGATACAACCTTACGCACAACTGAATGTATGTATATATATATGTATATATGTATATATCTGGTTGTGACGATATATACATATATATATATATATATATATATATATATATCGTCAAACAGAACTGCCCGGTAAACCCTAGGGAGAGAGGGAGAAGAGGCCAACAAACGAGGGGCTGTGACAAACTGTTTCGTTGGAGTTTCACATATATATATATATATATATATATATATATATATATATATATATATATATATGGTGAAAGATAGATAGATGGATTGTGTGTGTGTGTGTGTGTGTGTGTGTGAGAGAGAGAGAGAGAGAGAGAGAAAGAGAGAGAGTGTGATAGTATATCATGAACCATTTATCGAAAAACCAATGATCTACAAAGCAAGTCACGACATCAAACACCCCACGGATTGGCTGGCGGAGCACCATGCACTCTTGCATGGTGGTGTACATGAGCAATCAATCTATCCCTGATTGCTTTGCTGGCATCTGTGGAGTGAGCGAGCGACGCGTCATCCAACCCCCATCCTTCCTCGCAGTTGTACACCTCGTCTCGCCTCTTGATGCGTCGTCGTCTCCGCCGCCTCCTAGGACGCCCGAGACCGTCGTTCTCGTCCTCACTGATGACATGTGCATCCATCATGAGGTTATGGAGGGTACAAACAACCATGAATTCTTTGGTTAGGGTGTTTTGGTTGCAGATGTGACGCCTGATGAAGTTGCGCCACACTCCTTTTAATCTCCCGAAGCATCGCTCGATGATAGAGCGCGCTGCAGTGTGAAACTCATCGTACTGTCGTTGGAGTGTCCTCCTCTCGCCACCTCCAACCGGGGTCACGATCCATGGCACTAGAGGATACCTCGCATCACCGAAAAGGTAGTACCCGATTTTGCCATTGTCACATAATGCACACGCCCCGCTGTGGAAAATCCCCCTCCCTTCTCGCAAGTCGTTGTACATGGGCGACAGGCGCAGCACACGAGCGTCGTGCACAGCGCTAGGGCAGCCCACAAACACGTACAAGATTCTTCCCTCGTGATCACAACAAACTTGAGCGACGATGGAGTGCCCGCCTTTCCTGTCGTAGAAACACTCAGCTCTCACACCCTTTGGCTTCTCTATGTAGAGAATGGTGCAGTCGACGGCGCCCACACACCCCAGAAACCCTTTCCGCTCGAAAGCATCAAGGGTTTCCTACAACCGTCTACCTTTAGGCCAGCCGATGACGTGGCCATATTCCTTGATGAGTGCCTCCGCGACGTCGATATTGCTTCGCTGCGCACTCGCTAAACCCACAGTGAGCGAGTGCCCATACTGCGTGTAGTACGTCCCCATGGCCCACCGACCCAATGCACACGCAAACTTCAACGGTGCTGGCAATGGCCGCCTCCAGTTCATGTCCTGCCTTTGGATGTGTGGTCCTATGCGATAAAGGATTACGAGGAACAGTGCACGTGGAAGACAACAGAACCTTCTGAAAACTCTGTCATACTGTTCCCCCTCCTTTTGCAGATCCGACCACACACCTCCGTTCCGTTCCAACACCCACAACGTACGTCTCTTTTTCGCCGTTCGATGGAGCGTCTTCAATGCCGCGCACTGCATGATATGGTTGTGCAGCAAACCTCCTGCTATGAGGGTAATGTTGTCACCCACACCTGGTATGCTGATAGGCAATGTGGTTGCTGCTTGCAACTCCGTCATGGTGGCAACATTCCTCTCTTGCGAGAATTTTCCCACCCATCGTCGAGGAGCGTCATCACAACCAAGCAATCTTCCCACCCATCATCACTATGGCGAACAGAACGGGGATCCATGGAGAGGAATGACGTCGGCGACAAAAGTGACCTGTAGGAGTTGCTTCGATGCGCACACAGAGCGCGTGGAGATGGACACAGGGGTGACACAGGAGATGACGCCGTACTGCGGGACGAAACAGGTGAGGTGCTGAATTCGGAATTCGAAGTTAAAACAAAATTCGAATGTCCGCTGGTACGGACTGGCCCACTGGACCCGGTACCGGGCGACACCGTCATCGCTCTACGACGCTCAGGGCTTGTCGCCCGCGCATGTCCGGGTCCAAACTAGGGTCCAACGAACGGAGTGCT